TCTACTGAGTGGGAACGGCCCGAAGACCTTCTGGAGCCGTGAACTCAAAGGCGATGAACTTGTACTGGTGAGTAGATTCAGTTTACTGTAGCTAGAACTAAGGTGACATGAGAAAGAGGGTTCTACATACAGCTGTAGACACAAATTAATGAAGCGTATAAAGAATAATGTGTGTATGAACCAGAGATAGATAGTATTTTTGGCAAGTTTTTCACTTTTGGGGTCTCTTCAGGATTTTGCTTTTGTTTGAAGAGAGTTCTCTCTCTGTTTTCTTTTATTCAATTGTGGCTCCCCAATGCTCTATTCCCATCATCCTGAAGGATATCAACACAAAGACTCCCATTTCCATATAAAATCTCACAGCATATCAATGAACAGATGTCTGGATGTTATGAAAAGTGAGATGAGGTGTCAAACTTGGAGGTCATCGTCTTTAACCACATGTGCGGTTTTCTGTTTTTTCTTCTCTTTTTCTGCCAATAAGACAACAAGATATTGGCTAAAGGGACACATTTTCAAAAGCGCAGTTGTTCTGGCAGTGCGGTGTAGCCCATCCTTAAAGGAAGTGTTTAAGTTATCTCTCATATCTGCATGGTAAATATGAAGCAAGAGCCAACAGCTGGTTAGCTTAGCATAGCATAAAGACTGGAAACGGGGGGCCAACCTGGCTGTGTGCAAAGGGAACAACATCCACCTATAGATATACCAGCACCTAGAAGTAAAAAAAAAAAAAATGTGTGTTCCAGCTTTACAAATATAAATATTTTCTGGTTTTCTTAGGCCTCTATAAGAGTAAACTGAATATATTTGGCTTTTTGTCTTTTGATTGCATTAATGAAGACTATTGAAGACATCGGCTTGGACTTTGGGGACTTGAAACGTATTTTCTTTTTACCATTTGCTGACATCTTACAGAGCAAAAGATTAATTGATAAAATCAGTACATAATTGCAGCCATAGTTTTTACACTTGAAGCACGATAGCTTCATATTTACCGTACTGACACAAGAATCAATCATCGCATCTAACAGCAAGAAATTCCTTATTTCTCAAAGGTGATAACCATGCCAGCAGAAACTAACTAGACAAATGGTCAAGAGAGACCATAACTGGGTGGTGACACCAGATGTGAAAATGTTAAATGATCTGGTCAATATTTTTCCAAAATACTACGTAGTTCCAAGGAAATGTTCTCCCAGGGGGACACCATCCATTTCTTATGTTTCTGTCTTTTGCCAAACGAGGGTGTGGACAAACATGTCTATCTGTGAAAGCACATTATCATGATGCATTATTTCTGATTATCATAATTTTCTCCCCCATCAAGGAACAAAAGAAAGATGTTTATAGAAACTCATATTCATGTTTTCATAAAGGTCTGAAATGTAGACCAGAAGTCAGTCTAAAGCCGAATTTTGTTTTCCTTAGTCATTTGATGTGGGTCTGATTTCGCTTTTGGCTGCATGATCCACATCAATAAAAGGAAAAACACACAAAGGGAACAAAAGGCTGAAAGCAAGTGAATTATTTGTTACAGTTTGAAGCAGCACCTATTCAGGGGCTCCACAGGGATTTCAGGGAGTAAATTAACATTTCACTGCCATACGTTTGTTGTTAGACAGCCCTTCGTGATCTTGCATCCATCAGAAACACTACTGCCTCCAGTTCCTGGCAATTCAAGATGGCTAAGACAAGGCTGTTTTTTTTTTCCTGTAAACATCTGGGCCTGCTTGGATTTATGAGCCAGATGGACAACAAAGCAGAGCCCAGTTTGGCTGTGATGAAGATCTCCTCTTTACTGACTGTGACTCGCCTCTGAAAAGAGGCAATCAGGAAAACATTTGAGAGGGGCTGCAATTTGGACTGAATGCAGGTTTTCTAACTGGGAATAAAGCTTTGAACAGGACCAAATCTGTTTTTATTCAAGATAAGGGTGTGTACGTCTGTCCATGTCGGAGTGATAGGCTGTAATCTGATAGGCATTTGGGGCTGAATCACTGGAAAGAAAACGTGACTTCTCAAAGCTCATGAGTTTTAACCTGAAACGAGTGAGGAAGGAGATGTCAGATATATTCAGGATGGTTCCGAGATGAAACAGACTGTGAAATCGTCACTAAAGATACACAATACTGACCCGTACTATGGTCTGTATATCACTGTAAAAAATAATACACTCAGATTTCATGTACTGCTGAACGCATGAAGGTGGTGATGACAGACGTACCAGATACTTTAGTTAAAAATCAGGATATTGTTGCTGGGAATGAGGAACTGCAAACTGCACCAAATATAATGCAAAAATAGTCTTTAAACGCCTATAAAATAATAATTATTAAGCCTTTTCTTTGCTGAGTCCCATTATTTCAAGGGCCAGAAACGACTGTGGAGGTTGGGAGACTCTGACATACAATAATACTATAAAGAATATTGACAATGCACCACCAAATTCTAGAAACCCTCAGAGCAAGTAAAATGTTTCCCCCCCCAGTTATAAGTAGCAACTCCATGTGTGCACTGCAGTGTCTATATAATGAGGTGATTTTAAAATCCTTTTCCAGAAATGGAATTAATGTTCACAGGTATGTTTTCATTAGTGTATAATCACCTGGAAATAAGAATTGCTGTGTTTTTGTTACCTTCGAAAGAGACATTTTTATCTACAGACGCCACTGGTTGCCTTCCATGGATGCTGCCATCCAGGCCCTCTACAGTAGCCCAGAACTGACAAACCAAACATTGGCTGTAGACAGGGCCATTTGCACGTTTCTCAGCCATCAAAGTTTCTCCTTCGCGGATGGACAGGGAGGGTGAAACAAGTGATTTGCAATCTGCAACTACACTGCTAGATGCCACTGAATCCAACACACTGGACCTTTAACAGTTTCCAGTTCATATAGTAGAATAGGTCACCACTGATAGCTTTATAAACCTGCGACAAGGTGTAAACCCTCCTTTGTTAGCTGCTGCTGGTGTGTAGTAGTATCAGTTCAGTATTCTGTTGAGAAACACCCAGCTCATTCATCTACAAGGAACTCAATCACATCTTCTTCTAACTCGAGTTCACTCTCCCTTTTTGTTCACTGACGAATGAGATCGATCCTTCAGTATAAACAGAAAATATGCACATAAACTTGCACATAAATAAAAGCCCTGGCCAGCCGATGAGGAAATTAGGGTCTCGGGGGGGAGATGGATGGATGTGGTGCTTAATGAAGACAGCATGTGGTGGCTTACTGGAGTTATTGTGATCTAAGATGGGTGGACTGTAATGACCATTTAGAGAGTCTACAGTAAAAAGGGGAAGAGGAGAAATGCTTGAGAATGCCAAACTACTCTTTTACTTGTCCACTCGAGGAACTTCATATACTTCCTTTACATTTCAAGCCAATAAGTATTGATTTTTAAAGACAAATGCCTTCCTGCATTGGCTACTTTATGATGGGACTGGAGCCAGATGAAATCGTGTGGCTGTGATGGTGTCGGGAGGGAGGGGGGAGATGGGACGTGGGAGGTGGGGGTCCAAATCTGTGTGTGTCCTCCTGTGGGCTTTAATTGGTCTCATTGATCATTTTGCTGAGAAATGCCAATGGACCCTGGTGTTACCTCCAGTTAATGTCTCCCTCGGCATCGCTCCACGTGCCAGATGGAGTCGTCTCAGCTCAATTTTTCATGGCGTGGGCCCGCTTCCCCGTCCCGCCACACTGCACGGCCCGAGATAATGATGATGTGTGGCGCTGCAGTTGGCCATAATGCTTCGCCCCTGGGACTCCCATAAATCTTTGGGCTCGGACGCACCCACCCATATCCCGGGGCATCCAATGTTTCTTCCCCATTTTCATATCAGTTTTGGTCACGTCTGTTTCCTTAGCAGGCAGCTGTGTCAAATTAAGATCATGTTAGCCAGCATTTAGGTAATTAACAGCCCAAATGTAACGAGCAGCAGAAAATATGAGGACTTTAGCATGGTATTATTAGAAGAAACAAACTAATAAAACATGTGTCAGTGAAAATCTGATGAGGGTAATACTTAAGTGTTCCGGCCCTACAGTAGCTTTAAATGTAACATGAACATACCTGTACCAAGATGTTTTTGTGCCAAAACCTAACCAAACCTTTATTTGTAAAACAGTTAAATTGTTGAATCTCCAACTAATAAGCAGTTACATTGTTACAAATACTATATAAACTATCTGTAGGTGGACTATCCTAACCAAGTGGAAACTACTAACATGTATAGTGACAATTACTTCAACTGTAATTTTGTACATATGTTACAGGAATATACAGCATTATAGAAACCTCTAATTTTCATTGTTTCTATAGTTTTTTTTATGGTAATTTATGTAATGTTATTACACAACTGATTTGCCTGTAAATAAGGAAACTGGAAACATCCTCTGACACTATCCTGTTTGAAGGCAAGATAATGGTTGTGAGTTAAAAGGCGTGTTTTGTGCACTGAAGCTCAGACTGGACTAAATCTTGCTGTGCATGTTCCCAAAGTTAGAAAATGCGAGTCAAACATCAGCGAAGCATGTCGGCAAGATACTACTGCTGGTGAAGTGATAATCTGATTTTCCGCTTGATCTCCTTTCAGATCTTTGGAGCCGATGATGTGGTGTGCACAAGGATCTATGTACGAGCATAGCAGAAGTCCTGCAGAAGTCAAATTTCCTCCAGCAAATAATTGCAGTGTCTGAACTGTCAGTGTGAAAAATTTCACATAAAAATCAACATGTTAAATGATTTGTTTTGACATTCAGTGTTTTGCATTTTAGTGAAAATCACAATTTCTGCTCGATATTACTGCTTTATTCCTTTTTGTATATAATTTTTCTAAAATTGGAAATTAAATGATCAAAGGCGTTATTTCTTTCTGTTACATATAGTTCAATTTATGCTTTCAATCTTGAAAAAATGACAAAGAAATGGTGGGAAAAAAAGCGCTAAATATTGCAGACAATTCGCATACAAATGAAAAAAGAAGTGGTCAACTGAGCTTCTGTCTATTTAAAGGATAGTTTAATGCCAAACACCATACTAACACTCATGTACAACATCATAAAAGTCAAGAGAAGAAACACATTAAACGAGGTACAAACCATGTCTTTATGTACAATCAGCTCTGCGGGACTTCCTGTGGTATTCCATAATAAACAGCAAATATAAAAATAAAAACCCAAGTAATAAACTGTTCCGAGATTGTCTGTAGCTGGTTAGGTTACTGACCATTGCCTTAAATGGAGATCAGGAAAATGTTGATGGATGAAGTTTTGTCAGGCAGCTTCTTTTATTTTCTATCCTGCTCATGACAGATCCAGATTATAAGGATCTGGCTGTTTCCCTAAAATTAATGTTAAGAAGTATGCTGCTTGTATGTCAATATCCACCGCTTTCAGTGTGATGGATACCTTCCCACCTACACTATGTACAGAGCCAATTCCAGTTTTATTAATTACAGAGGGGAAAAGGCAACACAAATCCTTAGTTTACATCCCTCTTTTAAGGGAATACAACATTCATATTTGCATTTCATCAAGAAATACAAACTGATAGCTTCGATAAACTGCAGCTGAAGGAATTATTGCTTGCTTGTTTTCTTAATCCTTATACTGTACACAAGTCACATGGCTGACATTCACGTACAGACTTACTATACGTCAGTGTTCGCTTTCAACACAGGGTATAAAAAATAAACAACTTATGTACATTTTTCATAGGTGACACACTGTGAGCTCACTGAACCTGTCAAACAGATTCTAACCATTTGGTAAAATTTAAATACAAGAAAAAGTTGACAGTACTGGTAGGACTCCAGTACTTTGAAAAACAGACATATACTGTACTTTCAAAAAGGAGAAATTGCTGCTCAGCTACATTCAATCATCTTAAAACCACAAGTGACAACGATGCCAAAGACCGAAGGTAGAAATGCGCAGAAACACATAAAAGGGTAGTTTTTCTACTAAACAAAGACTTTAGGGACAACACATTCAACAGACCACAAAAGAAAGATCTCTAACTAACATCCTTTGGTAAAAAACAGTTAAAACTTTGCATTTTTTTTATAAACTTCTCTGCAGTCTCTACCAAAAGATTGATGCTATGAGTGTGTTAATTTAGGCTACACATCAATGACATCAGATTAAAAAAAAAAAAAAAAATACATATAAACAACATATTTACATGTGTTTGGGCGGTCATAAATTATTACTCGATACACACTGCTGGCATTGTACTGATGCCAAGCATCTACCCAGCAGTCGCCAGAGATGCTGAAGATAACACACACATATATATAGTGCCTTATTGCACCTTTATCACCAAGAGGAAAACATTCACAGGCTATACAGTTTACAGCTGGAAGTCCGACAAAAGAGAATTTAGCAGAACAGGTGGTTGTTCTTACTAAAACTGAGGTCTGTTTTTATTTCCTGTAAAATAAGGAGGTGGTCCTCAAAAACCCCCCCCACTTATTTCACTGTTAAGATGCTGAGTTTTAGTTATGAACTGCTTAACCAGGTTATTTTATTTAAACTGTGAATTGCGACAAACAGAAGATTTAGTGAGGAGTGTTTTCTTTGTATATTAATCTCATATAAAAATCTGCATTTATTCTAATAATGGGATTCCTGACACAGATTGGTTTTTTCCAATATAGTGACAAAACCTCAATTTTACATGTCTTGCAGAATTTGCAGTAAAACCTTGAAAGTTAGGATAAATTTCCTGAATCAGTTCCGACACATCTGTGGAAAACTTACATCTCATTTAAATTGTGGATTTCACAACCCCAAACGATTTTGGCAACTGAAACCAGTAACAGCAGGTTGGAAGAATCCACATGGAGCTACTGTGTGTGTACTGTGTGTATATATATATATATATATATATATATATATATATATATATATATATATATTTATTATTTTTTTATTTTATTTTTTTATGTATATATGAAGTCATCACTGGCAGTTTGTTGTGTGAAGACGTTCACAGTTTATCTTTCTATAAGAGAGATTACAGTGTTCTGTACTTCACCCGGTACTTGTTAATGTTGAGATAATGGAGAACCTCAGGGCAGCAGGTGGTGGTGCAGGACAACAGGCCTTCTCGTGCATCTCCCATCAGCCACTTGCGGCTGATGACAGCCATGTCGCTCGTCACGTGCTCTTTGGCCCAGGTGTCCAGCCAGGCGTGGAAGCGTCTGTGCAGGCGTGTGTTGACTCGCTGGTGGGACTGAAAGAGACGTCAACCAGAGGAACCCAGCTCAGCTTTTGGGACCAGTTCATAATACAGCTCATTTATTCAGGTAGTATAATATCAAGGTGACAAAATGTATCCATGCACTGGACTGTTGAAAAGTGAATGTGGCTGTAGCTGTTCTGACACCAAAAGTGATGTCTCTTTTGAGTTTTGAATCTACTGTAGGTGACATCCGATCATCCACATTGACTAGGGGCCTTGCATGACCACAGGATAAATGATGAAGGGTTCTTGTAAGCAGTTCAAGCTAAAAATAAACAGTTAACCAATCGTATAAAGTATGACCTGTGACATGGTTTCTCCAGTCTGTTAAAACATATAATTTTAAACGTAACAGAAATTAGTCAAGAATGATGAAGTGGAAACAAACAACCCACTACTGACAACTTCTAATAATTTGTAAAGAAGAGTTATTATTAGAAAAAAATAAACACAAATGGTGTAAACTTAAGATTACACTTGAATGACTTCTATGAGCATTACCTTGGGTTTTGGAATGAAAGTCTCAATTACTTTACTTTTGTAATTATGCTGAAAAATGAAAATCATGTAACTGCAGATATCTATGCCAAAATCCAATAATATGATCTGTCTGTCGAGCAGATTTAAGGGAAATCTGATAAGAAAAACAGATCACCACTGGATAGTGTTCACTTTTATTTACGCATTGCTAATTGCTACTTGTTGATAGCAGTGTGAAATCGTTATTATATTCTGTGCTTACCTGATGAGCCCTTGTGAGCGCTGTGTGCCTGTACATATAATCTTCTGACTTGCAGACATAGACCATCTTGTAGGAGTTGAGTTTGAACATGCACTCCATCTTAAGCTCACTGTTGCCGTCCTGCGATTTGTCCAAAGGGACCTTGGTCATCCTCTCCTGTTGCAGTTGCTCCCAACCCCTCTGGCACTTCCTTATCCGTCTCAAATTCCTGAAAGCCAAAACAGATTGACAACCATGAATAATACGGACTGATACCTGAGAAATTCTTCTGATTACTCCACACATCAAAAGGGGTACATCACGTTTACAGGGAAAGTTCGCACAAATTTCTAAAATCTATGAACAGTAATATTTTCATTTGAGCATGTTACATATGGTACAATTTTGTGTCTGACAGCATGCGCTGTATGATTTAAGGGGCTGTGGTCAGGCACAATACACATGACTTTAAGCAAATTTGAGAACAATATAGTCAAATTTGAGAGGACTGTCCCTTTAAACAATTATTTTTTAAACCCATGCATTGCAACTCACCGAGTAATAGAATTAGATAGGGAGTCAAATCATTCGTGGGAAATGTGGATCTATAAGAGCAGCAGAGGCAGCAGTCGTAATATTTCTGTACAGTGCACTTCCGTTGCACAGTCAGCCACATAGTTCGAATCTAAATATGCTTGGCAAACAAATATTTATCTTAATTGGAAATTGATCCTGATTTTGTGCAGGTAAGAAAAATACAAATATTCACCCCACCTGAATGAAAGTTTTAAATGTGTACTTACCACTGAGGGTACAGGTGAGCGGGGACTGAAACCATGAAGCATATTTTTGCATTCAGGGCTCCACATAAAAGACATGACAGTGAGGCCAATTTCAAGTAAAAACTGTTAGAAACAAACACTAGAAAATTGCTGCCTGATCGGTTACCAATCCAAAATATGAGCTGAGAATACTTTGATGTGCACATACTTTCACCAACAATGTACAGAGTGTTATGATCATGAGATGAAGACCCAACACAACTGGAAAAGAAACTGCTGGATTTTTTTTTTTTTTTTACTGCCATTGAAGATTTGTGAAGTCTTTTGACCTCTTGTGCTGCTGATCTCTCATAGATTTAATGAAAAAAAAAAGAAAAAGGACAAGATGTGGGTGAGCCCACTGATAAATCATAGTCAAGTGCCAGATTTATGCAATGGGTTAAATAAGAGGAAACTAAGAACAGGATTTTATTTGCGTTCTAAAATTCCTTTTGAAATGTTTATGGGAATGGACAGCCATCTCAAAGAAACAAAATATAAATAAAAATCAAAAAGCAATGAAAAGACAGGCTTTATGTGACACTCAACTGGGGCTTTAAGATAGAGCGAAAACAACCACGCCTCCATGCACAGCTCTGGGGTGTCAGGAAAGAAATACACCAACATGAACATACAATTTAGACAATCATTTTATTTACAAACCCTACTCCTCTGTACAAGTGTTGCAGATAATGTGCTTGACCAGAGTTTTTAAAAACTTATGAGCACTAATCTCTGTCAAACCAGTGGAAAAACCTCACCCACAACAAAAAGTTGCAACGGGAGTGCACTGTTTCCACCGAAAATTATTACAAACATAACACTGAGTATAACAGACTTAAACAAATGGACATTTGAACATTTACATTTGCAAACAGTGATTAAGTCACATACAGGACCTTTGATCTGAATACAATCACAAACAAAGGGCATGATAAGGTAGAAAAGGAAACCATGACTTCACTGTTCTCACTTAACAAAGTCTCTCAGGTCCAACACAAGAGCTTCAGTCTCTCAAACTCAGGTCAAAGACATAGTAGAAAAATTAAATTAAAATGAAAAAGGTGGAACCCATTTGTTTTGCTTTCAGTTTGTGCATTCAGTGACTTTTGTTCTTGTGTTACACAATGGAAATCATCATTTAAATTCAATACAATGTGAATAATCAAACCAAATAATTACTTTTAGCTGTTTACTAAACCCATGATCAAGCCAAAACCATTTTAAAAAACCTTACTGTTAATAAATAAAATTCCCATTAAAAAGGAACTGAATCAGTTAATAAATAAATTCCATTTTTAAAAAGATGGCCATGTAAAGTGCAATCTTCCCATGTGAGGCAGAGGTCAGAAACTGAAAAAGTTGGTTCACGGCCGATGAGATTCTTAACAGGAGGGCATTCAGGCACTGCAAGCACTTCACTGTAACTGTGGAGTTACTCTTTTTAAATTAACCTTCTCAAATCATCTTTGTTTTTCCATTACTAAAAAGGAAGAGCTCTTATGACCAAAATTTGTGATTAGTGAGAGCTTCCTAAGTCAGGCTTGTGCAGAAGTGCCACTGTTTCTATCTCTGAAAAGGAGTTGTATTTGGCCGCTGGTTTGGCTTGTCAACAGTGGAGTGGCTGCTCGGCTGACTAGAGCCTCAGGACAGAAGCTTAAAGTGTGCAGACAAGAGGGAGACATGGCTGGGGCCTCACCTGGGGAGGAACACCGGCTTCTGGGCAAGATGCTCACGCAGCTCGGGGGATGCAGAATCTGAGTTCAGGTATCTGCCCACGTAGTCTGACCACCTCTGCGGAGGACAGAGCAGAAAGAAAAAAAACATAAGCACATGTTGCACAATACAATAGCATACAGGCATACACTTGGACCTGACTAGTACAGCCTGACCGATAATGACCCATCGCAGACAAATTGGTATTACATCGGTGTATATTGGATATGAAAACTGTCAAACTGCTTGTGGTGATACATTAGTGTCACAGTAAACTTTATCCAGCAGAGTGCGCTGCAATTTACAATATTGGGGCAAGCAACAGAGAGTAAGAGAAGAAGCAGCTCTTAGCAATGTCTAGAATTAGTTGACAATGTTTATGTTAAATGACTTAACATGAAAGAATATTTAACTTAAATATTCTTTAATCAAGTTATTAAAGCAGTCTTCTGAGTACATTTATAGTCATATTGGTGCACAATTCACATAGAAAAGGTCTATTTTCATTTCAACCCAAATATCTAGAGACTAGTGATGATGGCCTTTGAAATTTGGAATTTGTGATCTTTATTACCAGCCCCCATTAGTGTTAGTAGGGTTAGAAATTGTAGGTTACATCACAATATAATACTGTTTAGAGCATATAATTGCCCAACATGAGCATATCACAGATTTCAGACATTTGTGTCAGCCAGTAGGTAACATGAAATTGCAGTAGAGGAACACCAAAGATATAATTATTGCTGGTTAAAAACAGAAACCACAACAGTAAAAAGCACTTTTAAAAAAAACAACTTTTATATGGATCATTATCAAAAGTGTATCCATGTTAAAAAAACCAAAGAAAACCAAAAAAAAAACCACATCCAGTATTGTTTATACTCAAGTCCTGTTGCAATATGTCCTGAAAACACAGGTATCATAACTAATCTTTTTAATTACCTTACCCAATAAGGTTGCAGTTAACCAGGTGATCAGGAATTGCTTCACAAAGACTTACATTTTAATTAATTATCAAATTATCTGCTTATTACGTTATTGATTAACCACTAATTGTTGCTGCAACAATAACCTCAACGTTTGTGAGGACAAAAAAAATATTAATAACAGTCATATTGAGTGCAGAGCTGTTGTGCTGGATAACACAGTATGTAGCTACGTAGGTGTAGATAATAAACTAATGGCTTAGTGTATGTGACTCTTAATGAGTCTTACCTCTGCCTCTGCTGGCTCATCAGAGTTGTCCTCTTCCGTGTCCAGCAGCTCCATAGCCAGACTGACAGATCCTCTGCTCTTTGTAAACATCAACTAGACGAAACACAAGCAATCAGAGGAAGTTGCAAATAAACAAAGTAGTTTGGACAGATGGACACCATTATCATTACTTTCTGGGCTTGTCGTACCTTGAAGCAGTTCTCATCTGACATAAGCTGCTCTGCTTTGCGCTGGTAGGCCCCCTCTGCTGTAGCCCTGGACGTCTGCGTGGACAGTGTGCCCCCTGTGGCTTTATTGGCACATTCGCTCAGGTACATGTCCGTTACTCGTGCACATACATCATCAGTGACAAGGTGCTGGAGCTGTGAAAGCAATGGGTTTAATATGCAACGGTTATGTCAACAGAAATGCAATAATTGAGGGTTTTAATGATCAAGCGCTATCAGTGTGGAGGGTGAAGGGTTACAGATTCACTCATCTCCAAGTTTTGTAATTAATAAGTGAATTAATGTTTGAATTGAACTAAATACAGTACAGAAGTTAAACACTCTAGAGCATTTTTGTGCAACATAAATCAAAATCAAGTTGTATAATCATGAATATGCTGACCTGCCGGACAATGCTCTGGATGAGTTTGTCCATGGTGAAGGCAATGTAGGCATGGATAGTAAACATTTCCCTCAGGGAGTCCTCGTATTGAGCCGGCTCCATGTTTCCATCCAAAAGATTACGCACCATTTCCAGAAACACTGAGTAGTACTCCTCTACATCAACATCCACTGCAGGTAGAAAATAGTATTTGTGTTAAGTTATATGGTGATAAATTACATAATATGATGCACCATGGTTCTGTTGTGGAATCCAAATCAATGAGGGGAGGGATTGTGCATAAATATTACAACCTGAAGATTAACAAAACTAAAACCACTGGTCTTTCATTTCTAACTTACTTGGCTCCTTCATCTTCAGTTGGATTGCTGGATTTTCATTTTTCTCCCTCTTGAGCCCCAACACTTCTCTTTCCCACTCTCTCTCACGGGAATCCTCCTCAATCTGTTTCTCAGCTTGCCCGTAAATTTTCAGCAAACGAGAACAGAGGATGTGATGAAGACGAAGGAAGATATACCAATAGTTGTTCACGAAGTACAGGTTATAGGCATCATCTGTGCCCCGCAGCTTCTGAGCGGCCGTGTTGCTGAAGAGGAGCTTGGACTTTGATGGACTGCTGCCTGGCAGGCCATTGTGCTTCTTGGGGCCGTCTTGATCCATCTCCATGTCTTCGTCGTCGTCTTCTTCTTCCTCCTCCTCCACATCAGAGAGCTCACCTCGCCGTGCAAACAGCAGGTCAGGGATGAAGTGGTGAATGATCTGTTTGATCTTGTACTTGTCTTCTTTCTGGATTCCCACCTGTCTTTTGACGTGGTGGATGATGAGGGCAGCAGCATCCTCCAGGATTTGGCTGTCGTCATAGGTCAGGGTCATGTGTGGGCCGCTCGGTGGCGGTGTGGCAGTTTCCTCTGATGCTCGCTCCTGGCGCTACAGGACACAGAAAGGATTAGACTTGACTTTTTTTTTAAAAGGCATTTTTCTCATTAGACAGTGGCATTCTGTAGAGAGAGCAAAACAATCTAATAGCTGATGATCCATGTCTCATTTACAACTTCAAAAATTTACTGTTTCAAACTTACAGTTTCAAAAGCAATCACAGTGAGCCATATGTTTATATATATTTATAAATGTTTTCCTTCTTTTAAACTTATGAAACTATTGTCAAGGGAAGAGTTTCCTTACGTCATCATATAGCATCTCAATTTCATTGAGCAAGGTCTTTGAGCGCAGCACTTTGGTGTCATTCTGCTTGAAGTTGATGCCTTGATGGTCGAGTGACTTCAGGTAATACTTTTCATTCTGCTCCCGCCAGATTTTGTTGAAGCCTCTCTGGGCTTCTCTCCACTCCTCCTCCTTTATTTTCAATCTGAAACAGTCACAGAAAAAGTGATGCAAAACCTTAATTGGTAAATCAAATCTTGTGAAATACAAACAACTGCAAAAATCTGACCAGATGCAGACAAGAAACTATAATCAGACTATGAACCTTTTCAGCACTATGGGGACAGACACAGCTGGGTTCCTCTTGAGCCCATCAATGATGTCGTGGGCCTTGTCCCCATATATCCTCTGGATAGCTTTGCGGTGAATGACCTCTGAGGAGCCACCCATTGTGTTGTCCAGCTTGAAGCGCAGCTGCTCCTCAGCAGACATACGAGAAAGCCTCCGCTGCACTGACTCCAGGGCTCGTATCGTGGCAAGGTTGGCTTCCAACACAACATCCAGCTAAAGGGGGCGCACAGTGAAATTATTGAAATGCGAGTTGTCTGATTGTGGTCCAGTTTTTACTGGAAATCTAAATCAAAAAGGCTTTTCTATGGTCTTTTGCCTCCTAAGCAAAGTGCATCATGGGGAGAAAGTCCTGCACACATTCTTATAACCCTGTAGTTTTTACTTTACAGTGTGAATGGACTGCGTATTCCTTACCTCAAAGCGCTCATCCTCACATCTGTAAATGTGCTCCTCATATTGAGTCTTCTTGGAGCTCACAAATGTAGAATCTTCTGACCATGATGGAAATGAGACCCATGTGTCATTCAGAACCTGCAATATGACAAGCAGTTTAATTAAAATTTCCGTTTTAAGCAAAACAATAGTACGAAGACTCTTGCAATGTTGTCAAAGTCAGAGCAGATACAAACATCACAAGACACAAAAAAGCAGGAAAATAAATAATAAAATCATATAAAAAGAGTTTGATATTCAAGCCCCACTGATAGCAGTCATCCAAACTTGAAAATGTTTCATAGTTTATTCTGAATATAAGATTAATTTGAAAAAAATCGATGTAATGAACAGTGTAATCTAGTCCGAGGTTTGCCTTGTTTTTGTGATGAAACACTAATGGAAATATGAGGTTTGGATTAAATGTTCAATCAAGCCACAAAAAAAATCATCACAAAATGAAAACAATCTTTAGCTGCTTTGTTGAACTGCCAAATAGGATACTTAATATTGACTACCGTCACTTTATCCACTAAAAGCAAATTTTGTTGGCATTTGGCGCCTGGTGAATGGTACATTACAAACACCAACTGAACACCAAGTCCTATTCCTTAGGCTACTGTCCAAATACACTGATCCCATTGTACCTGGTAGCTCTGTTGGAGATAATAAATGGGTTATCAAGACAGAACTACTGTTAATAAGCAGACTTCCTCCAGTGACTCACCTCTCTACACAGCGGCGTCCTTCCTGTACACTTGGGCTGCTGGTAGCTCTTCGGCAGTGCTCTATAGCTGGACCCCAGCCTCTTGCAGGAAGCATAGTCAATCTCCATGGCGATGCCCTCTGTTGCACGTTCCTTGGGTAAACTCTCTGCATGGCTTGACTCCCCGTGACTTGACTCTCGGTAGCCCAGGAAGTTTTTAAACCATGTAAAAAGCTCTGGGAATTTTCTGTCAATCATACCACAATGTATGTGAATTAAACAATCTAACAGTGAGGCTACGGCCTGCGGTTGGCTGATACTGTGTAACGTTGATATTGGTAGTAAATATACAAGTCTTAAATGATGTACATGGATATTGAAACAGATCAATACAATATTTAATTAAAAACTAAACTGACAAGTGCAACAATGTCATATCTGAACAACCATAAAAATATATTGCTCATTAAATATTAAAATTCTTACTGAGGAGTAACAGAATTACTGACTGAGTAAGTGTTCTAATATGGAGTTGATGACTTAGCTACAATACACAGCAATGCGGTTATAGAGGCAATAAAACATTACTGAACTCACCCAAGAAATGGGATGACTAACTGCACCAGCTCTGCACGTGAGATTACTTCCTGGTTGAAAATGTGAAGACACCGCAGGAAGTTGTCATACGCCTCAGAGCTCCGAAGAGCTTTCTTTACCTGTTAGAGCATTTCCAGTGATGACAAAAACAAAATGAACAAACTTTCCCACGAGTTGATTTCATCATATCAGTAACATTTTAGTAATCACCTTCACCTTGTATGTATGAATTATATAAACAATACCAGGACTGAATATAACAATACTGACCTTCTCAAAGAACATTGTTTCAGTGCTGGTGCTATGTTTGCTGACTTCCGTCATGCCATGGTCTTTCCCCATTATTTTGGGTTTCTTCTGCAAGGGTATAAAGACATGACAAAATTATGATTGTTGCAGGATCTCAAAAATGGTCCAACAGTACAATCAGCTGAATATATACAGAGTCAGCATTTAGAGTGGCATGTACCTTGACAGGCAGTGTGGCTCCCACTCCAGTAGGTCTCCTCATTGGCAGGCCGTTCTGGCTCAGCCTCTGTTTGTTGTTCAGTAAGGGTCTTTTTACTGTGCCACCATGATCATTACGCACCGACTCTGCCCTGTCTGGTGTAGTCTTGCCCAGTAACTGGGAAGAGAAGAACACATTATAATCTCACCAAAGACATGTCACATAAATTAACAGGAAGTATCAAAGGAAATGTGTGTAAATATGTTTGCCTTTTGCAGAAGTTCAATATAAAAACAACAGCCTGTCCAGGCAGAATAAGAAGCAGTGAGGGTACTTAATGAATGTAGGGAACAAGTGACTCAAGTGTTTAAGCAACTGTTTCAAATGTGTCGTTATTTGCTATATTTCCAATACATGGAAAAACAGCTGATTTTATATATTCATGGACTACTTTCCATAAAATCCAAGTTAGGTTAAGTGATCCTTTATTGACCATGACAATTTGTGTCCAGGAGGGCATTTTTTACAATGCTTCTTAAACCCCTGATGATATTTCATCAACATTTAACACTAGTATAAGACAGTTTCAACAGCCAGGAAATCACACCAACCATATTAGTTTATAAATGCCAGTTAAAGGAGGCCATGCTTTAGGAGTATGTTCAAAGAGACTCACCATTGAGCTGTTTGCATCAGGCAGGAACTGTCCAAACTCTGACAGCAGGTCCTCCTGGTTCTTGAAGAGTCTTGCCACCTGAGTGTAGACTTCCTGCTCAGTCAGTGCTGGGGTGTAGTTACCTCCTGCCTCTTTAGCATTTCGTTGTTCCTTCTGATAAATGTATCATAAAAAAGAGGTGGTGAGATTACCAATGGGTGTATCTCATTTTCTTTTCTCTTTGCAGGCAGATCACACACTTATGTAGCACACACAGAGCCAACAGCTCTTTATATTATACATTGAATACTTTTTTATTGACGTGTATTTTCTTACCTGGTATGTGTGCAGGATTTCCAGGAAGGCTTTGTAGATGTCTGGCTGACCCTGGAAGCGGTTCTTGATCTTATTGACATAATTTATAGCGTGGTTGAACTCCACAGGCTGGTTGTTTTGGAGAGGTGGCCCACCAGACGGTGTGCTGCTCACAGGAGTGTGGGACTGAACTGATGGTGAACGCGGTGAGGCATAGGATGGGATGGAAGGGTTCGGCTGGCTGGTTGGTGTATGGGCTGGAGACTGAATTGGCTTATGGGATTGACAGAAAAGCACAAGCATGTCATTACAATCATCAAGATTCTCTTTGACAAATCTAAAAAAGATTTCAGTTTGTGACAAAAGAGCAAAAAGAAGCCCAGAATATGTTTTAGTCTATGATACGCAGTTCAATGATCAATATAGCAGCCTCTACCTTGCTGGTTTTATTTGGAGCAGGTTGAGTTGGGGTGGGTGGGGTGGTGGTGGTGGTGGTGGCGGCGGCAGCGGCAGTGGTGGTGGTAGTATGTGGGCCAGCCTGTGGCAGACTCTGGTGCTGGGGATGGCTCACAGGTTGGCTGGATGCTCCACTTACAGGGATGTTCTGAACAGAGATACCATGGGGAGTGATGTAGTGGATCTGACCTGGCGTGGTCACATTGACTAGATCGTTGGTTTGAACCTCAATCTTATATCCGGGTGGCAAGAACGTGTTAAAACCCATAATGAGGTCTGGATGGCCCTTGAAGAGCTGGGATACACGGTTGATGACTCCAGGAGTGTCTATGCTGTAGTAACAGAATAAATGATAGTTATTTAGCATCTGTTTCAATATTAACTGGGTCCACAGATATTGTCCCACGTGTTACATGTTGTAGAACTTGTAGAAATACTACATATGGATTTTCTCCAGATGTTAAGGAAAATGGCAATGCAATTAGAACTCACCTCTGAGACTTGAACTCTTTCATTATATCAAGGAAATCATTATAAACTTGTGGCTGATTCCCAAACTGCAGCTTCACTTGATCCAGATAGGACAAGGCATCTTCAACCTAAAAAGCAAAAAGTACAAAATTTCAAAGTTCTGATTTCCCCTGAATCAAACATTCTGTAACCAGTAAACGCAGAATAAAAACGTATAATGGGAAAAGTCAACAAAAAGTTCAAGCATGCCAATCACCTCACATAGTACAAATGCTGCTTTGTACTATGTGAAATAAACCTTTTTGAGATTTAATCATACGTTATCACACTTGGCTCACATGGCTGTGACTTTGTCTTGTATATTTGGTATATTTGTCCATGTAGGGGTACCTTCAGTCGCTGAAACTGCTGCTGTCCTTGAGTTGAAGTCATGGGTGCAGCTGGATGAACGTGACCCTGGACCACTGTTGGGCCCTGGGACTGAACCGCTAGGCTGTGTGCGTGGGGACCAACATGAGGTGCTGTATTGTTATGTCCGTGTCCATGTCCACTTGTGCTCTGAGGCATTGTAGGCACCTTTAAAGGAAGAAAACACTAAAATTTTAGGATCCATAAACCATAAAAGATTACCATGTCCTCAGTGGGGTTAGAAGTTGTGTACATATTATTATAATTACACTGAATAAAGGTTTTTTTAATTTTTAAGCTTACACTGTGAAACATTTATAATGCAAGATTTACCAACTTTTTTAATACACATTTAATTCAGAGGTGGCTAAAGAGCTATTTAACAGGATATAACAGCAACTCCTGCTCTGGAAGCTGCTGTCCAAAGCGAATACATTGATACTGATTCATACCTGGTAGCCTTGGGGGAGAGAGTATTGGATGCCGGTAGATGGCTGCATGTTGTCTGCAGCTGCCTCTATCACAGTAGGGGCTGGGGCGAGGGCCCGGTGCTGGAAGCTGTCTGCTATACCTTGAACAGGGGGGCGACGTGATTGCTGTTGCTGGGGCGCAAATATTAGTTCCTGGTCCTCCACACGCCTCTTCATTGTATATGCATACTCAAAGCTAAAGTGGAGGGAAAAAAACAGACGGACAATAAACGGGCTGTTGGGTTTTCATCTGTGAACTTTAACAAACTATTTCAAGTATCAGAATGTGCAGTCTACTCTAAATAAAAACTTTAATGCAAGGTCAGATTTTGTAGAGTAAAGCATCTTAAAATTTCAGTATAATAAAAAATAAAATAAAACTTTGTGTCGTAAAAGTAAATAGATTTTTTGCATAACTAAGCTATAACTGTAAAACCAACACAGTGACAGTTTGATATATTTAATACATGTAAGTACTAAAAAGAAATCCCATCCTTTATTTGTGCACTGTCTTTACACTTGGAAAAGGCACACTGATGAACAAGAGCCCTATATAAACGTGTACCACGTTAAAAAGCGAACGACGAAATGAAATCATAAACACACACAAAAGGGAGAAACCCTAAAAGTCAGAAACTTAATCAAAAGAAAAGCATGTAAGGAAATTATTGTCCATTACTGTCCTTAAAAAAAGACTACTATCATTGTTCAGCAGAATGGCTGTGACAGCCGGTTAGGGACCGTCTTTCAAGTAATAGGCACAGCTGCTATGGGCTTCCTAGCTCCGTCAACCAGGTGCAATCAAGTTTCCAGAGTTAATATATATAAATTAAGACAAGGAACTCACAACAGGGTAAAATCTGAGATACAGGGTAGGTAATTACACAGTATATAAATACATTTACTGACAATATAACATCCCAATTTGAGTGCATAACACCTTTTTTTTTTTTAAATCATTGGCAGTGCATACAATCTTTTTTCAAGTTAATTAATAAAATGTTTAGCTGTAAACCAATCTATATATTTATTATCCATGTGGCTTCATACACACATGGTCCACTGTCAGCAAAAGAAAAATCAGAGCGTATATATATATATATTCGCATTTTAAAAGAAAATAACACAAAATCGGCAAACATAATTGAGGATTGCATAACCAAAAGGACGTGTAGCCTTTCTGACTACAAAAAAAAAAAAAACGTGTATGGAAAAGTAATTTATTGATAACCCCTAAGCAGACGTCACTGCAGTTGATCAGCGGAGAGCAGACATTGTACCTCGCTGCCCTGCACCACCAATTTCGGAAAACACGGTGGCTGAGCCGCACAGTCTTCAGCCGCCTGTCGCATACCCAGCTCCAAAATACGTCTTTACCGCAACGCGAAGCCAAATACGACAGTGAAAGAAAAACAAAAACGTTTAGAGAGCGGCAAGCCAACATTTAAGGCATGTAGGCGCTGTCTCTCTCTCTCTCTCTCGCTGCCTCATCCCCTCCCCCTCTCTGCCAAACACCGAGCTTAACGCCATCCGTTCTTCGGTGAGCTGACCGCTTTCGCTCGTCTGATGGCTGACGTTGGCTTTTAGCTCGAAGCTATGTGGCAAGCAGAGGATTGTATATATATATATATGTATCTGTGGGTCACTCTCGGGGGGGGTTAAATCATCTGCTTATCGTCCTCAGTTTAAAAAAACAAAAACAAAAAAAACAGGACTTCGCTTGCGAAAATAAAGAAATTAAAAAAAATAAAAATGATGAGCTGAACGTGTCGGCTAACTGACGTTAACCGTCGCTCGTTAGGTTGAAGGCTGACAACGCGAACACAAACCCGGCTGCTTAGTCTGTAACATATGGGGCAACAGCTCCACCGGGGTACTTAAATATAAAAACTTTACATGATCGATGATTAATTCTGCCCGTGCTAAGTTAGCTGGTCAGGTCAGGAAGAGCGCTAGCTGCCGAGCTAACGAGCTAACGCTAGCCGCTACATAACGTCGCATTAACGTCAAGTTGTTGCGAGAAGTTCGCCAGCAGAAGATTTTGTTGTCAAACGAACAGCTCGTCTGCCAGCAACGTTTGTCCCACCACCCCCCAAAAAAACAAGACACACATAGTTAAATTTTATATAGCAAAAAGCAGCAAAAAATATATATATATATATGTGTGTTGTCAGGTCCGTTTGCTCGGTGTTAGCATGTCAGCTAATTCATGGTCGCCGCTCTTTGCTCTGCTAGCTTTACTTTAGGCTAGCTTGACCAACTTATCGGCAGTGCGAGCGAACAGAGCCGCGGCTGAAACCCCGCTCGGTATTATTGTCGGAAGGCGACAAAGCAGCACAAAAAAAAAAAAAAACACTAACTCATCGCAGAAAGAAGCAGCCCGGTGTTACCTCGCTCTACCTGGTCTGTTCGGCAAGGTTATATAGCAGGTAGCCACATGCTACGTTAGCACAACAACCAACCCCCCATCAGTGCAGGGTATCCGGGCTAACGAGCTACTTCAACTTACCTCGCAGGACTGCCACCAGCAACAAATTGACACGCCGGTGTTAACGGGACACAGCCAGCGAACCGATACTCGTGTATTCACCTGGCCGGGACGAAAAAGTGAAGTTCTGATAAGTGGTCGCAAATGAAAATGTCAAAAAATGAAATTGGCCGTAGTGGCTACGTCGCTAACAACAGTGTATGTATGAAGCGGTGTTCCTTGAACATAGAGGCGTGTCTAACATGAAGGCGGGCTTGTCTCCTCCCAGTCTAAACTGGGATTGGACCACTCTCCAGAATGAAAACAAATACAGTAAGGGCAGTGAGCCAGGATCTTTGGTTAAAGGCGTCTGGTTGTTTTACTGTCATACCAAATCCAGCTTTGTTATAGTTTATAATAATCTGGACTGATTGGCGATCTTCCACCCATGCCACTTAAAAGATAACTTTATAAAAGTTTTGCATTGTTAACTAAAAAGCAGATTGCATAATTGTTTAATAATATATTCAGGTTATACCAACAATTTATTACAGACATTTATTTTTATATTTATACATCACACAACCGTGGGCACAGTCTCAAACTGTCACTGTCTCAGACAGGATTTTAGGTCTAAGACAAAATGCATAAATTAGACTTTTGTGTGATTAAATATTTGAATTATCTTAAATGTTGGTAGATTTTCAAATACACATATCCACACCTTAGGTGAGTGTATCCTCTGCTCAATAGTTTTGAACATCCAACAATATATTCTCTGGTTATCTTTGACTGGATTTAATTATTTAGCCTTTTTTATTTCCACCCAATATATTATGCAGACAAAATGCTGCTTGTATGTGCCCAACAATTTAATCTATTTATAATAATCTGGACTGATTGCCGATCTTCCACCCATGCCACTTAAAAGATAACTTTATAAAAGTTTTGCATTGTTAACTAAAAAGCAGTGGTTCCCAACCTGAACTGACGACCCCCCTGACTACATTTTATATACATTTCTATCTGTAATTAATGCATAATAATAACTGTAGAGAACAAGAGATGAACTGTACAAGGAACCCACATAGTGAACACAATGACTGCAGGACGTTTGTGTACACATTTAAATTGTTTTTAATATATTTTTTAACAATCATACATACTTAATAGGCTTCTATTTTGACAGATTCAGTGTTTTCTTCTCATTGTTCTATTTGCTCTTTGATAGTTTGAACTTTTCTAATGCAGGACGAGGCTGTTTATTAGAGGGTGAAGACTCTGTGGATATAGCTTGTGTTCAGCTCTTTACATCTTAACAGTAAAAACAACTGTTTTTATTTAGTTTTATTAACATAAAAGAACAAAATGCTGAGATACAGGCCTACTGTGTATATTTAAAAGTTTTCTTACACCTCTTAAAATCAAGTAGGCCTCGCGACCCCCAGGTTAGGAACCACTGAACTAAAGGGTTCACCAGGTCTTAAAGCCTGTGACATTTATAGTTTCTACACAGACGCTGACACAGAACTGTTTATAGCCACGATATTTACATAATCATCAAAACTGAGAGCTGTAGAAAAGGGACATGACTTTGTCCAATAGGATCAGGAGAGGTCAGTGCTCTGCTTTGTTTAGAGGCCAAAACATACAGATAGTTATTAACATTTTGTCTGAACTGCATACAGACGTGTCAATAAACCTAAGTGTACTCACTTATCCTTAAGAGGGTTGCAGAACTGTTCAATGTGAATTTTAATATTGTTGGTTATAATTTGTTATCTTATGTGAAGTACTTTATAACTTGGTTTTTAAAGTGCTCTACAGTAAACATTATTATTAGTAGCAGTATTAGTGTGTGTAAGTATTACCTCTGCATTATGAGCATGTCAGTGACTAATATGTTAAATATGTACTCTCCTGTGTCTTTCCTCCAGTGACACTACAAGTCTTGGTTTTGCTCCTTCTTATGTGCTATTTGTTCAATTCTTGAGATGAGATGGCTGTCTGACCACCAGCTTTGTAACAAAACAAATCAATAAAACTCAGATTGCATAATTGTTTAATAATATATTCAGGTTATACCAACAATTTATTACAGACATTTATTTTTATATTTATACATCACACAACCGTGGGCACAGTCTCAAACTGTCACTGTCTCAAACAGGATTTTAGGTCTAAGACAAAATGCATAAATTAGACTTTTGTGTGATTAAATATTTGAATTATCTTAAATGTTGGTAGATTTTCAAATACACATATCCACACCTTAGGTGAGTGTATCCTCTGCTCAATAGTTTTGAACATCCAACAATATATTCTCTGGTTATCTTTGACTGGATTTAATTATTTAGCCTTTTTTATTTCCCCCCAATATATTATGCAGACAAAATGCTGCTTGTATGTGCCCAACAATTTAATCTACCTAGTACACAAAATAGTGCAAAATAAAAAAAAAATGTCTGGTGCTCTCATCAAGATTTATTTTTTGTATAAGTAAAAATATTCTCATAGTATATTATATTATATTATATAAGTATTTTCAAACACACATTTACATTTATTTGCTAAAACAGCAAATACATAGAGAGATGAAAGAAAGTGAGGGGGAAGATCTTCAAACGTCGCAAACTGGCAAATGTAATGCTCCCTGGTCCGACGGATCATCGTCCAGTAGCATGTTCAGTAAAGGAAGATCTTTTGAAGAAATATGCAGATAGTTGTCAAAATCACTCCTGCAATGGCTGAGGCCTGTTGTGGAGCTGCAACAGATGAGAGGAGAGACAGTTGTGTGTGTGTACATTTTAAATTTCAAAAAGTGGAAAAATACAAAAAATAGATCCTTATTATCGATAACAGGAACAGCAAAAGTTGACCCTGAAGTGCACATTTTTAATTTGCTCATCTTTAAGCCTCCTGGTGGCAGCTATATTTAGTTTGTTTGTGCCTCTAGCCAGCTAAGCAGTTGGTGATTAATATCAAACAGTTTAATATGAGCCAGTGCTCAAAATAAAACAACCTTTGCAGAAAACTTAGAAGACCTGTTTTGCCTGCAGATATAGCCTACTTTACAAACTTGAGTTCACCCTTGCAAATAACAATGTAATTCACAGGTCAGTAGACGGATATTTAATTTAATCAATTATCACAAATTAAAAAACAAAGAGATGCAGGCTTGCTTAGAAGATAGTCTCTTACCATGTGAGGGGGTGGTGGTGTGTGCAGCTGTGGTAGTGGTAGTAGTAGTTGTTGTTGTTGTTGTTGTTGTTGTAGTAGGTGTAGTAGTAGTGGCGACTGTTGTTGTGGTTGGTGCAGCAGTTGTGACCACAAGGCTAACAGGTCCTGAGGTGATAGTGTAGGTTTTGGTAAACACACTGCCTATCACCGCTCTCTGATTAATGGAGCGGGTACACACATCTGGGCACTTCAGAGAGGGCAAGGTGGAGATGCACAGATTGACTGTGCACCGGATATACATCTGTAAAACACAACAAAAATAGATGCAAGTGAGTGGTGTGAAGAGACAGCTCAAAAAGCATTTCATAACTGCAAGATATAATTGATAGAATACTGTAACAATACATTTTGTCACTGTCCAAGTGTGGTTGTACTCAGCTAAATACTAATGTAAAATCAAAAATTCTCCTCAGATTGGTCATGGAAGATTTATAACAATACCCAGAAGAAGAGAACTGCACAAATTTATTTTATGTGTGTGTTTGCATGAGAGTACAGACCGTTGATCCTTTGCTCTCCACGTTGCTTAAATCAAGGCGGTAAACCTTGGAATTGCTTTTTGATGTTATAACTTCTAATGTGCTGTTGGAGCTTGTACACCTGAAAGAAAAATAGCGAGAGAAGTATTGTAATTTGTATGATATGCCTCAAATTTAGGGGTGAAAAAAGTCAATATTTATATTACAAATATTACAGGAAACAAGTCGATTGTCACTGACCCTTGCTCCAGAATAGGTTTGGATTCTGCAAAGTCCTCTGTCTCTGACTCAAGACAGTTGCTCACTATCATCTCGGCTCGATCAATGCTGCAGTTGGACAACACATGGAGATCCAGCTGGGTGACCTTGGACCCGATGGCATTGCCGGTAGAAGTGCTGGTGGAGGTGCTGTTAGTGCCTATCGTTGAAGATTCTGCTTCTCGGCGCACTCGGATTGGTGACATTCGGAGGCTGCGTAACCTGGGGATGCGCGTGAAATTTGACAGGGGCCCCTCTCCTGGAAAGTGAAGTTCTATCCAATACCGGACATTACCGAAGGTCTCAGTCTCTGTGGGCATGCCGATCTTGTACTGCGGCCCTTTGGCCTGGACACCAGGGATACGGCAGGCCAGGGGGAGGACGAGGGAGGGCTTGCGGCTGACCATAGTGTAGGGACGCACACTTTGCAAGGTGTTGGTGTAAACCAGCTCGGAACCAGAGTGCTGGAAAAAAGGAGAGAATGAGGAAGGGCATAGTCGTAATTCACATTCAGCACTATTTTTGAATTTAATGAATAACTTAACACCAGACTGAAAAGCAACGTTTTACTGTCTTTTACGATTGAAATTGTCCAGACTGTGTCACCTTGGGTGTGGTCACAAGTGTGCTCTGTTGCACCTATTACCACACCTGTACAAGTAGAAGTTAAACCACTTGATGTCAGCAAATACAAGATTTTCAGAGGGTGTTAAGTTACTGCTGTGATTCTTTTCTTAGTCATAGACAAATGGAGACAGGAAGATATACACAGCATGAAAGTAAAGGAAAAAATTAGCCAATTATTAGAAGTTTTTTTTTGTGTTTTTTTTGCCTTTTTATTGTAGTATATAAATATGTGACTGCAACAAACTTGTTCCCTGTTCTCTCTTTGTGAGTGCACTAGAAACAGGATTTTTAATGTGTGTTTACATCCACATCTAATAAAGCTTCAGCAATTAGTTTATCGATTAATTAATCTGCAAGTATTTTGATAATTGATTAGACATTTCCCACGTATGACAGTAAATTGAATATCTTCAGGTTTCAGTTAGTTATACAAAACAAGCGAACTGAAGACATTATTGTGGCCTCTGAGAAATTGTTTTATTTTAAAAATGTTTCTCACATTTCATAGACTAAACAATTAATTAATTAATTAAAAATGTTCTGTAGATTAAAAGGTAGGTCAATCATTCTGTAGTTGTTCTGACAGTTGATTGTTGTGTTTCATTCCCGGGTCATTAAATACAGACAATTTGAATTATGGTAAATGGGAAACAAAGGGGCTCAGAGCGTGCCACACAAAACAACAGGTGGTGTTCATGGTGACCCAAAGTGTCAGTATTTGAAGACCTGGGAATGAGACTCAACAATCAGCTATGTTTCTCCAGAAACATTATCTTTAATTGATAATTAAAAATGATCTTCAGTTGGAGCCCGAGATCTGATGCACCGTCTAGAAATTTTAGCACTTTTTAGTCTTAGTTCCTCAGAGATAAAACAGGCAACAACTCATATGGATGTAAACACCACCAAATATCCTTAAAAACTTGCACAAGTGAGTACTTTAACATCATAGTCATTGTTTTATTTGAAACCTAGTATACTGGACTACAGGGCCAAAACAGTGAAAACTGTAAATCTCCCACTATTTATGCAGTCCAGCATATATAAAAAAAGTGTTTTAACCTTTTAAAAATTGTTAGATACGTGTTGGGAGGAACGAGTCTAGGAAAGGAAATAATAAAGAGAGAATGAAAGAATGAAAAGTAGAGCATATTACCACAGTCTTGGTGCCGCAGCCATTCAAAGAGATGCGTGCAGTCAGGTATGTGCTGTTGTAGGTGACAGGACAGGTGGGGCTGTTGAGCTGCAGTTCGGCCAGGTTGATGTTGGACAGGGAGGTGACAGGAAGCACCAGAGTCATCTCTGTCTTTTCACACTTAAGCTCTGTAGAATGACAGCAGCAGCAGAGTCTTAGATTATTAAGAAATTCTTTCACACAGACATCATTTATACACTTAAAGGCCGAAGCTTGAAAGTTAAATATTCTCCCAACCTGTTCCAGCAGGTAGTGTTCTCATTTCCCCTGAAAAGATCAAGAAAGGCATATTTCAACAATATTTCCTGAGTGAGGTTAGGGACGGTTTATTGTCTGCTGCAATAAAGATTTACTGCATTCTTATGATGTTTGTAGAAAGCTGAAGAAGTTCTTACTTTGGTACAGCCACACACATCTGGGCTCTGACTGCAAACTGGAAAGGCAACAAGTGCAAATCAGACCATGGCATGTACAGAATATACTCTGTTCAAGATATGGACATTTGACTGGCAGTTTAAGCAGGTGTGCATGTGGACAATATACTGTAATGTAATGTACTAAACTGATTTCAGCTCTTTTATCTCAGTGCACTGTTGGTTTTCAAATTCTGCACATATACACTGTATTTGTTGTATGTGATTTTTCTTTTCAAACACAAGGTTATTGTTTTAACTTGTTTTCACTGCTCCTTTTAGAGTCTTAAAATAAATTATACAAATGTATAATTAACAATGTTTAAGTTGCTACAAATATAATAAGGGTTATCAGTTAAATAAGAATACTTCTACCTAATAAGGACATTGTAGTACACTAATAAACAAATGAAAATATATGTATTAATGTATTAATAAACTGTTCTGATTTAGATTTTCATTTAGAAATTCAAGTGTCTTTTCTTTTCATGCAAACCTAACATACATTTTCTGAACATTTTCTCAGTTTTCTTCTGTATCTTGATTCCTTAAACACATAAGTATAACTCAAAATAACGGGACATAATCAGAGTAGGTTACTGCAGTTTTGTACATTGATTACAGGTTTGATGAGGTAACTTAATAGATAGTAATAATATAATGATTTAACAAAACAGTATGGGGGGACCACAGTGTGGATCACACCACTATCTCTGGCAGTGCCATTCAGTTCACAGAACAACCTACCTCTTGGTGTTCACAGCAAAGCAGATGGGCAAAAGGCGGGCCAGTTTGTTTTCGGAGCGGACCCAGGCAATGGTCATCAGTGCCAGCGGGCCGACTGTTTTGAACCCAACTCTGAAGAGTTCAGGGGGACCAACCACTGCTACTTCTAAAACACTGGAAATATCGAGTGAAACATTTAATTAAAGCTTGTCTAACTGTATATTTATAAGACCCTCATAACCCATACAGGTGATTTTAATTATTGTGATCAATTAGACCTCAGCTGCATCTAAAATCATTCACTCTGTAGTGAGCTGTAAATTAAGATTTCTGACACTCATGAATCATAATCATTTTGTGCCATGACTGACAGGTGTAGAGTCACAAAACAGTAATTTTAACATCTATAAAATGTGGCACAATGCATTTGTACATACCATGTACGCTGCTTTTTCATTTCAGTGAGGGAATTTTATTTATCAATCTCAAATAAAGGGACGTACCTCTCCAGCTGTGACATAAAGTTGACGTCGAATTTCACCTGCTGGTATGGCAGGACAAACAGTGTGGAGTCCTCTTTGGGGGTCCCACCTGTTGCCAGAGGTTCCTCACTGCAGCTGGAATCAGACTCCTCCACTGGAAGGAAGAAGAATAAGAGACCTTTGTATAACTTCGAATTATAACAACAATGATAAAAGACTAAACAACTACAACTTAAAAAATTAACCACCCTGTGTTTTAACAGTGTAGTTAATTCTCCTTATTCTGTATGACTATATGTTTGCTCAAATATAGGTAGTGCCTATTATTTGACTGACAGACTCACCAGTGAGAGAGAGGTGTACAGGCACAGAGCTGAGAGGGTTATTGTCTGTTGTGTGGATGGTTTTGGGTACAGGAATCAGGTCCTCTGCCATCAGGTAGATGAAATACTGTCCTGCTGGTGCTTTTCCAGTGAATGACAGCATGCATTTCTCCTGGGAAAAGAGTTAAGCCAATGAGAATGTAACTATGTGACTATAATTTCAATGAAAAGGGTCCACAATGAGGTCTGTGGGTTATTCAAAGTAACTGGGCCACTGTTTCTGGCTGTTGATGAGTTTTTAAATGTAAATTAAATGTAATTATTTAGAAAAGTGCCCAATAATTTGTGACCAGTAATTTCATAATTTTTTCTTCTCAAGCTGCTTAAAAAGAGCCAATGAAATAAAATCAAACTATCTGTACCAGTTTGAATTGCATCACATTGTGTTAAATCAAATCGCACTGCATCACAATCGGAGTTACTCATATCGTATTACATTGGTAGTGTCTTCATATGTATCTTTAATGTATCAGATTGTTGGAAATGCATCAAGATGCATATTGCATCAGCCTCAGTGATGGAAATGCACATCCCTAGTATATAGGTTACTATGAGAAAAATATGGGATTGCAAAAGAATGAAGAATATCAGATGTTTGAGGTCAAAAGTTCAGACACTTTATGTGAGTCTTATACTTTAAATAGATGGAGGCATTACCTGCCCTTGTGGACACACTGGTGGTTGTTACTGCGCAAATTAAAGGAATAAAGGGAACCAATTCATAAATATATAAATAAGAAACTATTTAAATAATAATGGTCTGCAACAAGCTTCCAGGTGGTTGAGAGTAACTTAACTACAAGGAAGTCAACCCACTGTTGAGAATGATCAAGATTTGTTTCCTGAAACTGCTGCTGACTACCTCTTTGGATGGTAAAACACACTGGCAGGTGAGTGCTTACTGGCCCAACCCATGCTTTCCTAACTTGCTCTTGTCAGTAAACAGTGATTGGTAATCTTGTTCTCCTGCATTACTGAGACAGCTTCATAAATAGCTATCTCTTTAGGGATGGTAAAGTTTGTTCTTTACCTTTTCTGACTCGCTCTGACACTTCACAGTGTTTTCAAAAAACTACTGTTTACTTTAATTTACATTAAAAACAGTCACTGCCATTAGAAATTACACGTACACACCTCAATAACAGAATATTCACGTATATCCAGTGTTGAAAAGTAACTACATTTATTCAAGTACTGTAATGACAGTACTAGCTCTTCCTCAACCAACAGTACAGTATAACAATATATTAAATAGTATAATAGTATAAGCAAATTTGCTAAGTATACTTAAGTAAAAGGTACTGCAGTACAAAGACTCATATATGTTACAATTATAAGTTAAGTTTTACTTCCTTAAGTTAAGGATCTTAGCACTTCCTATACCTATAAACACATGATATCAGATTTTTTCATAGATGAAGCTGGATTTTGAGTTTTTGAGATTTATATTCATCAAACATAGAAAATACAGAAAGGCAGTAACAAGATTGAGCTTTAAAAAAGTAAAGGCCTTTTTGTAGTTGAAAATAAAGTTTAGTTCATCCGCCCAGAAAAAATGAAACTGAAACTGTGTTGTGGCAGTGTGTGTACTGCTTAATGCTGAAGTTAGACTCACCTCATCCAGCTCTATAAAAGAGTGCTGAGTGCAGTTGAGACACTCTCCCTGGTCGGAGCGGGCAAAGCGACATCGCACCCTGTCACCATCGAGGTCTTTCACCGACAAATGGAAGTGGTGGGGGCAGTTCACACGAGCCCTGATCCCATTGCAGAAACAGAGAGATAATCAGCACTCAAATCACAACACAAAGACATTCATGATAAAGGAGAAAAGCGAAAGTGGATATAACCTGTACAACTGAAAAAAGAGGTGTAATGTATTATTACAGTAATTAATCAGGTGCTTATTTCTTGGTCTGGACTCTGCTGGTTGCCAGGCAACTGGTCATGCCCAAGAAATAGTCCAACACATAAACCCGCAAAACTCGGAATTGTTGTTTGTACACTTCTTTATACATGAATAAAAAACATGTTCTGTATTAATTAGTGAGAGTTGGAGATGCTGGAAGGCAGATATTGTTACCGTTGAACAATGTCAGGCTAGCTGTTTCCCCCTCTTTGCAGTCTTTATGTTAAGCTACGTTAGCCAGCTACTGATGGTAACCTACTGTAGCTTCACATTGACTGCACAGCCATGAGAGTACTAGTGAGTACTATCAATTATCTCATCTAGGTTATAGACTATAGGCAAGAAAGTGAATGAGTATATTTCCCAAAATGTCCAGAGCTGGTAGGGGTTAACGTTCTTCAGTGACATTTAATTTAAATTAAACAAATTATATTTAATTAAGGAAATGGTTTTTGCCATGGTGGTGTTTTCCTAAGGCACCAAAAAAAAATCATGTGACTTGAAACTTAAACTTTTAAAATCAATTTAATGTAAAGAGTTTTTGACTCGTTCAACCCTGTGTTCTATAAAGCCCTCATTTTCCTTTCCTTTTATATTTGTGTTCAAGCTCTGCCTCCTTTGTGTTTTTGATGTGCAATTTAAACTTCACTCTATTATTTGCAACAGAAGAAAGGATAATAGGGACTGTGTTGTGTGTGTGTGTGTGTGTGTGTGTGTGTGTGTGTGTGTGAGAGAGAGAGGGACTTAATGTGTTCATTACCTTAGTGGAGGAGGGAGACCAACAAAAGCAGGTTGGTTGAGTTTCCCGCTGTTTGCCCGAATTTTTGGTCCTGCATTCATAGATACATAAAATTCTGTGTTCGACCTAAAGATTTAAGAGGAAAAAAAGAGCGTATTAGAGTAACTGAAAGTCCTTTCATTGAGCTTATTTGAGTTAAGTAGAACAGAAAACAGGACTTGGACTTGCAGCTCTTGGCACACAGACAGTGCAGGATTACGACAGGAATGTTAAAGGAATAAAAGCACTGAGCAGCACACAAAATGAGTCACTGCCTCACATATAAAAACATGGCAAAAGAACATAGACTTTTAACAGCAATTAAAGATGAAAAACATTTTTGTTCAGTGTATAGGTTACGTGAGAAAAATGTGTGGAATTTCAGATGCACGTAGGTCTTACCCTAAATTGATGGTGGCATTGTAATTACTGGGGACAGTTTTCTGCCACTGGCGGACACACCAGCCAGAACCAGGTTTGGTGCCGTTAAAAGGTAACGAGGTAGTGTGGACCAGACAGTCCTCGCCTTCAGCGCACAGCCCAGACAAAGCTGGACAAGGACTGGGAGCGATGGCAATGAAATGAGCCCGCACCTGCAAGAAGCAAAGAGACAAAATGACAAACTCTCATATAAGTGCAGTGATTGATTTTATTATTGAGGTGAATCACAGACATTTGCAGTCATTACCTTGTAGCTCATGAGATGCTAGAATACTGATTTTGGCTATACTTTTATTCTGACTACCAAGCCAGTTATCGCCTTCTAGATGATTAATTAGTTTGGTAATCTCTCAACAGGTGACAATAACAGGTTACAGCATATAGACAAAGTGGTGTTCAGCTGTCTGATCTGTCTAGACTACCAAAGGCAGGGTCTATCAGGGTGACTGCTGGGGACTGATGGTGATGTTTTTGGCGATGGCTAAATATTTTATTGTTGTCACTTGATGTATTCATGTTTTATGTATTCATTCATGTTTTATGTAACTTAGTCTGTGTGCCTAAGTCTCAGTGGGTTATATGTTTCACCTGGCTACAAAACAAAACTCTCCTCTGGGGACACAAAAGTTAAAGTTGAAGTTGATTAATAGGTTTAATATGACCATTAAATAATGGATTAACAGATTACAATAAATCTCGCTCAGTTTCACAACGAAGGGTACCTTCAGACCACAAGGCCTCTTGATATAGACTTAAGCTGGTTGTTTGGGGATACAAGTTGTTTAGTAAGTGGTCCCTGTCTCCATGAGTGGAGAAAAATAGAGGGATTCTTTTTAAAATGTATGTAAAATAAATATTTTCTTCCTTAGATAATGGATCCCTGAAAACCTTTTTAATTGTTTTACTTAAGGATTAGATAATTAGGTTATTTTAAGGGATCAAATACCTGTGAAGTTCCTAGTTTGGATGGTTTCAAAACATAATCTAAAACTATGGATCTCTAGATGCAAATAACATAATGCTGCAAGCTATGAAAGGATACCTACATTATGGTTTGCATTAGTTCACTGTCAGCTCACATGGTAAAAAAAACCCTTACAATAAATAATAGAAATGTAAGAATAGAAATGCGTAAAAAGAGCTATCTGTTAGTGCTAAACAGTTTGGACTTGAAGACAACGTGACATAAAGGTTTTTAGGGGACAGAAAACGTTGCCCACCGTTCTCCCTTCATCGCTGTCCAGGGGCACAACATGGACTGTCAGCCCCAGAGAAGAGGCTTTGCAGGTCGGGCCTAACAGGAACAGAGTCAGGCCCTGCAAAAGGATGCTCAGTTTGAATCTGTTCAGCATCGCAGCTCCTTAGTCTGACAGACAGTCTGAACCTTTGGGAAACAGACAGAAAGGTTAATTATATGATGTTAAATTTGTAATATTAAGCTGAACATCAATAAGCAGACATCATAGACAAAGCTTGATTCAGGTACATGTACAATGTTTCTTTTCTTGCAATTCAAATGAATTACCAATAAATTAATGTAAGACCTACCCAGCATAATATGTGTTCACACTTTCTGAAAGAAGGCTGTTGTTTTGATGTCTGCGAGAGCAACTGTGTTGTGACGGAAGCACTCAGTTATTGTCTTGATAGAACACTGTGAAAGAGATAATAGTGGAATGCTGACTGAATGATTATAGCTGACAGAAACTGGTACCCCCAGCAATTTACGGTATTATACGTATGCATGCACGTATATGTATACGTATGTGCAATTTGTGGTTTGTGATGCCTAACATATGTAAGATCAAAAGGTTGAAATACTGGACGGTAAATAAACACAGTACAAGTATTTTCCTTTTTAGTATTCAGATATGAATGATTGACAGACACAGACACATCGGACATTTTTGCTGTTTTTCCTTCCCCTCAGCTCTATACAGTATATGCAGAAAATAAGGAGTGCTGAGGAGTTTGAGTTCAGGTGCCACCCTGAAGTGAAGACTGCCTTGTTAAAGAGATTGGTCGTGGACATTTGTGATTGGATGATACAGGGAACATGTGACTGTAAAATGGGCGAAGCCAGATATAATTTAACGAATTATTAAACAGAGGTAGACACGAGGGAATGAACATGCATTAATACATATGTTGTCAATTTATACAAATATTTTTTGATTTTTTTCTGCCAATTTTACCGGTAAAAACCCAGTTTTACTTTCATATTGTTGACTTCTATTATTGGACAACTATAGATTTTCATTAAAAGCATTTACAATTGTGATTGTAAATACATATGTACAAACCTATAAAAGGTTCAAGTTTAGCAAGTGAATGTAACTTATTTTTTGGGAGGTAATTTCATTTGTATGCAGCAGACTATTTGAACCCACTTTTTCTTTTCTTTTAAGTTCAGTGTGAACAAGAGGCACAGCTAATGTTAAAATGTCCTGTGACCTGACATTGTAAATACTGTATACTGTTCAGTATTCAAACAGCAGAGGTAACTAGGTAGTTTTTGTTGTAGTCTCATAAATAAGCAAACTGTGACACAGTGAGTCAAGAGGCTTTAAGGTGAAGGGAGAAGCATGGGTATATACAAAATCACCATAATCAAGTGCAGACAGAATTGTAAATTGTTGCTTGATAGGTGTTCCAGTGTCTGGTATTCAGTCAAATTCCCAAATATTTATAACATACAACAGTTTGAATTTCAGAACCCTGAAGGTTTTGGATGTGGGCAGTAGACTGCATATGTGACTTAGAGAATACCATACATTTAGTTTTGCCAGAATTTTAAATATTGATTGGAGAGATCTGAAATGTATCAAAAGCAGACTGGAGTTTTGCAAAGACCAGATTAAAAGCCAATGGCATATAAAATAGTGTCATCTGCATAAAAATGTACATTACAATTTGTCCTGCGCCACCTAAGGACTCGGTTACTGAAGGTGAAGGAACTTGTGCTAGGTGTTTAGATCGTGAATAGATCAACCATCCGAGAGTTACCCAACTCGTCCATTATAGATGACGCGGCTATGGTGGAATTTACTTGTGACAAGGACCCATTGTAAATCTTCGCCTGGGGGTCTCTAGGTTGGTCAGGCCCTGATCTCAGTGTAGTGGGTGTATGCTATTGGGAAATGTACTACACCAAAAGGTTATACTTTTAACCTACTTAAAAGTTATTTTAATGTCGTAATATAAAATATAATAAATATATATAATATATAAAATAAAATAACCTTGAATCCTTCATGCGGTAGTGTAAAATGGTTGAATATGGTTTGAATATTTTTGTTGTTACAGAACTGAACAGTCTTTTCTTACTAGATGATTCACAAAACAGGTTCAAAACTGGAACCAACACATTTTGGGAGCATAGCTGACTGTTGCTGACTGTATGATGAACTTATAACAACATTTGAAGGAAAATATTCACCCTCAATTACAAAACACTGGTTGAAGTTCTTAGAGTTCTGAAACTCCTGACAGTCCTCGCTTTTAACATTTTTTAAATATATTTAATTTCACTATGTATTGTTGTAAACAAATGAATGCCATCACTGCCACATGTCGCCATGTTCCTTACAGTTACAAATTTGCGCTCTAAAGAAAACCCATGAAAAATACTATTTGTTCAGATTATTGTTCTATTGAGGTTTCTGGCATACAATAATTCTAATGCTTTAAATCTTACTTTCTCATGTTTGGTTGATCTGTACAGACTGATTTACTTTAAGCTCTGTTCATCATTGTAAGCAAGTCTGTGCAAGATCACTAATCATATACTTAAAATACAAAAAAATATTACTTTGTTACCCAAGTCAGTAGGTACTGAAAACTTCAAAAATTATAGAACAGACCAATTTTGCCAGCTTTGTTGCTTAAATTACAAACTCTGGTCGACTGAACTCTCCACAACCACCATGGAATAAATGCAATTAAATACAGCGAACACAAAGGGGAAATCAAACATCTAATACACAAGACAAATAAATCCCATTACCTTAAGCCAATTGCCGCACTGCCTTTCAAAAGCTTCAAAGTCCTACCCAATATTGAGATTGTGTTCGACTTCAAACCACAAGCATTGTGGGTTTGAAGGAAACTTACGCTTCCTATATAGGTCTGAAGAAGTTAAGGCGGAGTTGAGCTAAAATTGGGCAGAGATGGAATGGAGTGAAACCGGCTCAACCAGAGATCGTAAAAGAGGCATGACAAAAGCTGTACGTCCAGACGAGGGCTTTACAGAACTGATAATACCTCAACTGTAGCAACCATTTTGAATACTTTACTGTCAGTGCAGTCTTTGTGGGTCTGATACATGTCGCAAATCACTGACTGAGACAGACAGATGACAGAAACAGTTGAAAAACAACCAAAACACAATTGTAATGACTGAGATTTTCATTTATTGAAAGAGCAAAATGTTACATTATAGGAATGATGTTTCAATGGTCTTTATCAAGTTGTGCCCTCAATCCTGTTCAAATGGTGTCAATAGCAAAATTGTGGTCCTTTCCTGCCAAAAAGTGCTCATGGTCCTTTCTAGTAGTCACATGACATTTGGTCACAAGACCAAGCCTCATTAAGACATTTTTCTTCAAGTTTCTCTTTTTGTTCAAATTCCTTGTAAATATTAGACTAATATACAACAACTCCACATCCACATTAGCATCAATCACCATTTATATTTGGTCAGAAAACAGTCAGTCCCAGCCTAAGAGAGTCAAGTGTCCATTCAGGAGAGATGTCCCTGGAGTTCGGTCAGATGAGGAGAGGGAAGGCCATCTGGTGTTTGGGCCTTCAGGTAGTTGGGGACGAAGAAAGTAGCCTCCTAACTTCTGATACCTCCTGTCAATGCGTCCGGAGACGCCAAATCTGTCCATTACTGGCCGTTTTTCACGTTGAGCATTTTCTCCTGTAATTAAGAAACAAAGAGCCAAAGAGTCAGTGTACAAAGCTCGGCAAACACATTGCATAAATGAAAACATCTCTGTATTGACAGCAAGACAAAGTGCATACACACTATACATTTGTTTAAAGGACGGGTGTGTAGGATCTGAAGGAGACCTACAGTGTCTGTAGATAAAAACCATCTCATTCTAAAAAGGTAACAAAAACCCAATGATTCCTTATTCAGGGGATTATACACTAATGAAAACATATCTATAAATATTTTATTCCATTTCTGCCAATAGATCTTCCTAAATGTTACACACTGGATCTTGGAAAAGAAAAATCCTCTTACTTTGATCATAGTCTCCAGCTTGATGGCGTCAGCAGCAAACTTGCGGATGCCGTCAGAAAGTTTCTCCACAGCCATGCGGTCTTCATTGTGCTCCCAGCGGAAAGCCTTCTCATCCATGTGAACTTTCTCCAGATCACAGACCTTGGCTACAAAAACAAACCATCAAGGTGGAAATAAGTGCATGATTAAGTTTTCAGGTTCTATAAATTAAACAATAAGCCATCTATGTGCAAGAGTGCCCAGAGTCTTTGTTCAGTTTAACAAACAATACAATCTTATTCTTTCCTCAAGAACAAACATTTCTATAGTAACTGTAAATATTCTGCCAGGATGGTAATGTTTTTTTCATTTGTAATTAATGGGGTAACATCTACGGCAAAAGCTTAATTTGTTGACACTGAGTGGGCCACACTATGGTTTTAATGTACAGCTGATCACACGTCATCTGATAACATCTTCATGCCATTTACCATCCTTTCCCAAGTCTCTCTCTGTACCCTCCAATGTTTGGGGATGACAATGAACACATTTGCTCATTAGGAACAAGCTTTTAAAAGCAACACTGTTATTCCTCTTCATAAAAGAACAAAGTACCACGAGACATTTTAATAGCAGGATATTGGATAGGACTGTTTGCATGAACACATGGTGCATGACAGGAAAGCTGTGATCAAAGGTTCCTAATTGAATGAAAATATTAAATTAAGTCCAAAGAGGTGCCAAAAACACTTTAGACTGCTACCAATCTGGTTTGCTCAGCTTACATCAAATGTCTTCCCTTTTTATGTTTCTTGTTCAGTGAATGTCCATGCACAATTAAAGTAAAACTAGCAAAGTTAATGAGGACAGCAGTCCAATGTACCTTTCTCCACATTGAGCACCTCTGAGACGGTGCTGTGGTCCTGGCTGAGCTCTGCGAGCAGCCCAGGGGAGATTGTGAGCAGATCACAGCCAGCCAGGGCTTTCACTTGACCGGTGTTTCTGAAGGAAGCGCCCATTACCACAGTGCTATAGCCAAACTTCTTGTAGTAGTTGTAAATCTTGGTCACACTCAGCACACCTAGGGGCAGAAGAGAAAGCTGAAATGTTTTAAATGCTGCTCATGCCAGCATCTCTGGTGTGATTAGGTGCATTTTCATCCACTCCTTTTTAAATGTGCATTTTCAATTTGCGGAAAAAGTTTGTTTGGTTTAGGCGGAAGTTGGAGTATTGATAAGTGCAATGGGAAAAAAAAAATCACGATGTACAAGAAGCATGTAACTTGAATATCCACTGAAGCCTCTGTTACGTTAAGAGATGAAAAATAGCAGACTAAAAAAAGTCTGATCTGTGTGGTGTGAATTATGGTGTGAACAGTATTATTAATCAAATTAATACATGAAAAAGCTGAAATGCCATACATCCATCGTGTTTTCTACACTGCACTGAGGTTTGACAGACGTTCATTTAATTACTTCATCTTATTGTGTCCTCTTCTTGTGCAATGGCATTATCACATCCGACTGAAGCACATACCATTTTAATTTTATGGCTCCTTTGTTTTTGCTACACGAGTTTTAGTGGTTGTGGTGTAACATTTAGGTATGTAGGTTGTTGAGCCCGGAGAAAATGTGCCTCATAAATTGGTGCAGAGACACACCATGTCTGTAGTACATCCAATATACAAACACATTTAACTATTGGTAATGTTCTTAGTGAAAATATAATGGGCCCTATTTGCCGATCTGAAACGCAAGTATCAAACGCAAAACGCAAGTAGCTTTGTGGGCGGATCTCGGGCGCTGTTTCCATTATGCCGGTGGGATTAAATGACTCTTGAAGTAGCTACATTAGTCATAGGTGTGGTTTGAGCGTAACATGCAATAAACCAATCAGACCAGACCCACTACACACCGGACCACCCGTTCCTGCAGCAAACCGGGTTTGACATGCTGGAGCGGGAGCTGTCCGGGACGCGGCAAAGTATTAATGCCCGTCTTGACCGGGTGGTGGCGTTGCTGCTGCCTCTCAAGCACATCCCCTCAAGTCTGTGCCCTTAAAATAGCATCTGAATAAGCGCCACTGACTTTAGACTAGATTTTTCCTGGTCTGTGGCGGAATTGTTTTCTGAAACAGCAATATAGCACCAGGGAACGTTTGCGCCGGAACACGCCTCCTCTTTTGGCTGAACCGCCCCCCGGAACGCAAGTTCATTCCCTTATTTAAGGACGTGCGTCAGTGGAGGGAAAATTCCAATGTGCGTCGAGTGCAAAATAGGAATTATACAAGCGCCAGTATACAAAGCCAATTGCGCTGAGTACAAGATAGAGCCCACAATATGAAAATAAGAATTAGATAGAGAACACAGATTTTTTTGCAGACTAAACAGATTATTGGAGCAACTCAAGTTTGTGCATCTGTTGTTGCCCGTTTGTAAAAGAACAAAAAAAAGTAAATGCAACAACAACTCTGTTTAGAAATAAAAAGATAACATGACCTGAAAAACAGCAGACCACTTATAACTGCAAATGTGTTTTTTTTTAATTTATTCATTTTTTTTTATTATTAATGTTATTCCAAATTAAAGTTGAGAATTATTATGCATGGCAACATGGTGGCAGTAAATTCAACCTGAACAGACATCATCTACCAAATCTGGGCTGCACCTGTAATGCTGCATTTCCCAGATAAGAATATTTGTTCCTGGTCCACATCCTCTGCTCTGATATCAAACTGTCAGAATGCAAAGATAGAGAAAACATCGCTCTTAAAAAGAAAAGTTGACGAGGAGTCCATATGATTGGCCACTCCTTTCATCTGCCTAAAACACATCCACGTATAGCCACCAGACAAACTGGCAAAAGGCTGGGGAAAAAAAGCGTGAAATGGCTGCATGAAGGTACTGATACACTTTTTGCATTCAACCTGACCAAATCTGACTTTAGTGCTACTTTACTGATAATGTAACAAAATAATGCAGGTTTTATAACACATAGGATGGCATTTATTACCTGGGTCTTCGTGTGGCTCGTAGCTTTTGCGGTCTGTATTCTCCTTGTACCAGTCGAAGATGCGTCCAACAAAGGGTGATATGAGGGTTACCTTTGCTTCTGCACAGGCAACAGCCTGAGCAAAGGAGAACAACAGGGTCATGTTGCAGTGAATGCCGTGCTTCTCTTCGAGCTCCCTGTACAAAAAAAAAAAAAAAAATATTTTATTTAAGAAAAACAAACAGTAATATGCTTAGATGTAAATGTGTTCTTCCTCTGCTTCCCGTTTCAATCAGAAACTCCTCAAAAAGGGGAAAACAGGCCACAGAATATTCAAATATGACACCTTACAGTTTCATCAAGTTCAGGCTTATTATTTTTTACTGGTTAAAAATGTGGAATCAACTGAGGTAGTCCAATTAACAGAGATACAGGCTGCAATCAATGTAGACTTGTGGGTTTTGGTACCAAAAATCAGGCATTACAGTGACATTGAAAGGTAAATACATGTAGATGAGTAAATACATGTTTCACTCATATCTGTTTTAGACAGGTCACGTTACACAGCTAACCCCTCTAATATTGTTGTTTTTGTCTTGTCACGTTGAAGAAGTTTTTGTGAATGTTTTGTGCCTGAAGCCCGTGCATTCATATTTGTTCACATTCTTTCTAAACATCCTCGTGGGGTTGGTGGCCCCATCAGCTTTCAATCATCTGTGTTTTATTACCAGCCAACAGCAGACGCCAGATGTTTTAGGTGTTTACCGTACATGCACGTTGACAAAACGTGACGGTGCATGCACATTGACAAAACGTGACAGTGCATGCACATTGACAAAACGTGACAGTGCATGCACAGGGACAGCACGTGTGTACTGTCTGCACTCCATCCACCAGACCCATAAATGCCTGAATGAAGCTGTTTCA